AGGAAAGCCAGGATAGATAAATGAAGAGAGAGCAGTAGTTACTTTGAGTTCCGTGTAATTTATGATTCTGTTAGTTTCGAGCTAGTGAGCCGAAAAGTGTGTGTTTCGCACTCATCGAGATTGTGAATCGCTGTGATTTATGGCGTGTATTATAAAAGTTGTTAAGTTTAAAATGACGAGAAACGTATTGATTGTGAAACTACTGTGTACTAAAAGTTTGTATCGAGGAAGAATAAACTGGTTTAATAAAAAAACACTTGTATCGCTGAAGATCCTCGGAGGAATATCTACCGGAAACAAACAAACAAGCAAACAGATACGTAACAATATTAATTAGGTACTTACGTAATGTGTGTACGTACGTATTATTTGGTATTGTTACGGACGAGACTAGTCGTTACTGGGTGTTACAATAATACGAACCCGAAAAAAAAAAAGGTTTGTACTGTAAATAAACTAATTCGAAAATTGTCTCACTGCTTGTTGCTTTATCAGTAAGATCCAGTCCTATAAACTGAACGATGCAACGTAACTGACGTATTCAGTCTCTTAAAGTACAAACCCGAGTTAAATCTTCCAATATTTATTTACAAAAAGTGGGCATTTCACGTAAACAAAATCTGGCTCGAAAGAATTGGGATTAAAATATTTAAAATCAAAAATGCACATAATTTCGAATCGATGGTTTCATTAAATGCTTACGAATTTTTGCACAGTATTGAAACGATCACATCATATCAGTCAAGAAAAAATAGTACCACCACCAAGTGAGGCTCATGAATCATGGGATTAGATGTAAGGGTTCTTAAACTGCCGTTATACTTACTTACTCGCATCATAGTGTAGTTAGAAGTGTCTCTGTTTGTTTGTAATTAAGCACAAAGCTACACAATGGGCTGATATAAATTTGAATTACAGTTCATATATGGTTACATTTCCTTTTCCAGGTACACGACTCGAAAAATTTCAATGTTTGTAGTGAGGCAATTTACATCCAGGTTAAAAAGGAGTTTTTCTTAAACCATAACGTGTTTCCCTTACAATCCATCATTGTATTATGGTATTTGCTAACACTTTATCCACGTTGATGTTACGGTTTATCTTTTCGTCATATTTATTTTAATATCTTTTAAGCGGCATAGTTGAGTGTCTGTAAGCGTTTTATACCATTATGACTCTGTTACCTATGTTACTAGCATGTCATGGTTTTCTGAAATAACATTATTGCATCCACAACCGCTACGGGGTCGCACTACACCCAAGAAGGGGAAATTAGTTGGGTTGGTATAAATCGGGGAACAATTATGCTCATTTAGTTATTATGAGTTGGTCTAGTATTGGCTGAATCAGACAGTGACGTTTTAGCAAACTTGATATAATACACGTACGATGATGTCGATATATACAAAAGCATCCGTCACATGCTCTTTTGATAAGATAATTTGTATTCCCGCTAATTTTCACTCATAAGTTAATGTTATTAGTGTGTTTATTTCCTGTCAAAAGATACAATCATCGTTAGAAATTGAATATCTGATTCATGGATCGTACAGAAACGTCACAATGGGTCTGGACACCTACAATATATCAAGCCAACAGTGTGGGAGATTGTTTTACACCTTTAAAGCATACCGTTCTTCACTAACAAAACAACATATATTTTTATTATCAGCGTTCTGTTAACTGCGTTCGTCGCTTTGCATTGCCTCCTAATGGCTCAGAGGTAAGTCTGAAGGCTTAAAAGGTTAAAAACCGGATTTCAATATCCCTGATGAGGATAGCACAGATAAGCCCATTGCGTAGCTTGTACTTAACAAGAACGATCTGCACTACTCATAATACACGTTGTATAAACACAAAAGGCAGACCACGGGCACCATTCGTTATTCGTACTTATCATCGGTTTAGTAGTGCATTGCGGTGACACTCTTAAATAAGTCTCCCAGTCAGTGGTGTAATAAGGGGGTTATAAAGGGTGGGTGCTTGTCTAGACATGCAGATTTTACACTTAAAGCAGCTCAATCTAGGTAGATTTGGGGCACGCCCCTCCCCCACAGAATATTAATATAACAAGATAACTTACAGTTGCTATACAAGTCAAGTATATAAACGTGTGGTTCCGAAGCCTCTGCTTCCAGTAAAGATTAGAAGACTCCATCATTAAGTGTACCCCATCCACATTGAACAATTGAAAAAAATATAGAAAGGTCCTGAATTTTTAGCAATCCCCGGGTACTCCAAGAAATCCGTTAAACAAGAAAAATTCGAAATTTTTTGTCATATAGCGTCAGTTACAATTGCATGCTTTCTTTTCATTCACTTTTAAACATAAAAGATCCGTTAGAGTACTTTTATTTCTTCTCATAAATCATTTGTCACGTGCGCTGTAACTAATACATTAGTTGTCAAGGTACAGTAATCGGAATGTATTATTATAAATGTTCCCTTTGTTGTAAAGCCCTCTGGTGACAAGTATCAAAAAAAGAAAAGCTCTCAACAATCACATGGGTATGTTCGCGTAGGTGATGTAATCACAATGGTTAAATCACTTTTAACTAGCATTAGCTCTGTAAATAACTGTTGGATCTTATCGTTGTCAGTTATTTCCAGTACAGGTTTGTTAACACATCTAATGTCATTGCCATCCAAATAGAGGGTTTCTTTGTAATTAAGCACAAGGCTACACAATGGGCTATCTGCGCTCTGCCCACCACGGGTATCGAAACCCGGATTCTAGCGTTGTAAGTCCGCAGACATACCGCTGTGCCACTGGGGGCTCCAAATCGATGGCTTCAAGAGATTATATCAGCTTTGAATGGTGGACTTTTTTGAATGCCTTGGTTTAATCTATAAAACAAGCATAAATCCCTTTCTGTACTTCAGTGTATGTTGCTTCCCTCACTTCCCTGCGTTTGTCCAAATCCTCACTAACCTCTTTGTCTACATTGTATTTGATTCTGTCCAATATAATCCTAAATAATTACTTGGTGACATGGCTAAACAGGCTGATCATTCTGAACTCTGAGCAGTCTACTGCATTTGGATTCTTTGGGAGGGTGTCAAGTAACTGATTCCTTTAGGTGTGTCCTGTGTTATACGACTCATTGTACAATTCTGTTAGCATGTCAACACTAAATTCTTCAAAGTTCAAGGACTTTTATCATTTCAGTGGATATATCGTCTATTCCATATGACTTACCTGTGTTTGTAACGTATTTTCTACTTCATATTTAGGAGTAGTTGGCCCTACTCCACTTCTTTGATTTCTTTTGTCTGTCATCCTCAAATGGGTCCTGAACACATTCAGACACTCTTCTTAGAATTCCTTTTTATTTTGTCTCTGTATTTACTTTTGATGCAAACCTGGTTGGTGGTTGAGTGTTCCCCGATCACTGAAAGATAGTAGGCCTTATCCAGGGGATGATGAATGGTAAGTACATTATAAAACCTGGATAGCTTTGTTTTCCCTTCTTCAATTAAAATAGATTTTTCCATAAAGTGTCACCACGTGCTTGTTACCTAGCTAGAACTGATCTCTTATGAATAATGTTTTTGAATAATGAACTATAATTGTAGCCCCTGCAGTGTCTATTAATGTAACTAATACATTTTCGTTTTGAAGTGCCTCTAGTGGGAAGTTAAACAACTAGTTTTCTCAATGCATATCCCTAAAATAAATGTTTTAAATTCTGATGGTTATTAAGGACTTGAAATACATTTTCACTGCCATAAATGACAATGTCAATAATGTAACAAGTTATGAACAACATATTTAGGAACTGAAATGAAACAGTTTATTTTACCCTATTAAACACAGCCCCCTCCCACATTCATAATATTTAATTCTTTGCAAACTGAAATATTTTTTCACATCTCCATCACTGGTGTTTTTCATGGTGAATTTTTCAATGCACAGCTTATTGTGATTGGCCGAATAAAATATGCTGGCGAGATTGTATATGTATCTTTGTACTGATAATGAATTATGTGCTATATGATTAATGTATCAACCAGACACTCATACAAGGTACGAACTGCTATTTAAATTTCAGTTTGTTCAGTTTTCTACACAAGATATTACGCTTTTGATATCACTCGTAAAAAAAGAGTGTATTAAGATATACAAAGCCTTAAAAAAAAAGGGATTTTAAAATACCATGAAATTTCAGCGTGTATCACTTTTTTTTACAGTGCTAAAATTATTAAATTTTTTAAAAGATTCAGAAGAAGATGAACCAAGTTAGAAATAGTTTTCTTTATTAGTTTGGCTAACGAGAACGCATACGATGATATAAAATTACAGACAAAATGGATACGCTCAAGTTTCTACAACCCGAGAAGAAAACAAACTTTGACGGAAATTAGACTAACACCTACTTGTATATGTGATCTGAAAAAAATCTTTTAATGCTACTCTAAACCAGTGATAAATATATGACATACATATTTTACAAAGCTGTAGATATAGATAGCCAAAAAGGGCTCCTAAATACAATTAATCACCACAATAGTTGTTAGCTTTGAATCTTATTTGCAAAACTCAATCTACACAATTTACAGTTTTTACTTATCTACTGGATATCTCAAAACACCAGAGCTAAATAATGTTACACCATTTTACAGATCAATTAACGTAATCACATAAAAATGAATATGTAGTGAAAAAACTGCATTTGAAATCAAAGTTCTCATATATATTGGTAGTGCTAAATGATAGCGAACGTCTTGACCGTATGCAGAGTCTGTTCGCTAAATATCAGGAAGCTCCTATCCCATATTTTTAACAAGTTACTAATTCTCTAACAGGTATTAAATATTACTTTAACAGGCAGTGTGTGTCTGTTATCAAAAGGTTCATTCTACAATATTTCTGTTAGTTAATGAAACAACAAAACCTACACTAGGGATACAATTGTGTGATTTATAAGTAAAAACTCAAAATGTTTTTCTTATATAATAACAAAAAAAAAAGGTGTTAAAAGTCTGTACTAAAAGCTTTATAAAACAATGTTTATAAATACACCAGTCACAGCCATTGATATCTGTGAACTGTGATAAGCACTAAGGAAGAAGCTTAAAAAGCAAGTTTACTTGGTGGTTTACAATAAACAAACCATTACAAAAAAAAAACAACAAAACTTCAACAAAAAAATTTGTTTAAACCTTTTGTCAGTGACAATTCCAAGCCTTCAATTATGTATGACATTAAAACTCTGTAAGAAGGTTTGGAAATGATATTGTATATTCTTTCTCTAACATACCACAGTGTGTCACGCGTACGAAAGTGATACTTCTTTCACATCACAGTGTCTCTCTCTACAAGATAAATATTTACAAAACACTTAGTTACTGATATTATAATTGATACAATGGGTGAAATTTGTATACATTTTCAATACTTTCTAGACAATTCCTCCCTACACACCATCACAACATTCTAGATGAGAAAATTAAGACAGAAAATATTTTATAGTTATTGTTCTATTCTACAAACACTTCACGAGTAACTTTTTTTTTGAACGAGTGTCGCCAATTAGGCTATTCAGAAGGGTGTTATGTACAGATCTGCATGTTAAATAAACTTTTTTTTCTTTTTTTTTTACAGGAGAGGTCTATGGCAGTTATATTTCATATTTTAAAAAGTAGAACACGATGGAAGCATCGTGGAGATCCTTGATTTTTAGCATTGCTGGAGATATCCATTATGTGGCATAGAAAATGCAATGACTGACTGAACAATATGAAACTGACCACAAGTAAGAAGAACCGATTTTAAGACGTGAAACTGACCACATAATAACACGTGTAAGTAGCATCAGTTTAATGGTGCTGTCCTCCGCGAGCTGCTTCTTCCAACTTTCGAAGTTTCATCTCACGTTCGTGTCGCTGCTGTTGTTGGCTGTGGAGTAAAAGAACACTTTTTGATTTTTTTTTAAAAGAAAATATATAACTTAAATACATAAGACATATCCATGAAAGACTGTCTTAAAATGAACTTATTTTGTCAGCAATATAAAGAATCACTGTACTTCTTTTGTAACTCAAAGAAACTGTTATTTAGTAGTCTTAATGTTGCTTATATCTATAATTAACAGGTGTATACACAGATACAAATCTCTAAGGGTGAAGTATTGGTCATATTATTTTACTAATGTAATTAATTTATAATCAACAATATAAAACATCAGGTAATTTAGGAACAAATTCATGCTTTGTTATGTTCACTGGAACACTGATAATTTGAAATAAAAACAAGAATGATGAAAGACAGACTATATGATTTATTAGATCACACACACACACATATATATATATATATATATATATATATATATATATA